ATTGTTTAGAGGGGGTGACACCAAAATGACTGACAGTCATTTTACACCAAAATGACTGACAGTCATTTTGGTGTCACCCCTCCAATGGTGTCACCCGGGTGCGGGCCGCAGCCCCCGCACCCCACTTGTGATGCCACTGGGTTGACCTGAGTGATAAGGGGTGTAATGGTAATGTCCATAGTGGACCAGGGTTAATAACTGGTGACCAAGCATGAGTGATAATGGAGGGGGTATTATGGATCAAAGAGGTTGACCTGGGTGATACTGGGTGAATGTTTGCTTCTCTATGCACATATACTATGAAAGAATCTAAATTTAGTTGCTAACAGATCCTGTTAATGTGCTCATGTCTATCAAGCAACTGACAAAAATAATCAAGGACATATTATATTCCTGTAGATCGGCTTGAGTACTGCATCATGGGAGAAGGTGACATGTTCCCCCATACAGGAAAAGCACTGGGTATTCTGCAGAGACTCCTACGTTATGTTAGTTGGAGAACCAGATGTCGTGGTTAGGCTAAATAATCTCATGGTCCCAGAGCATTTGAACCCTCTGTATTTATGATCTTGGTATATACTGAAATAAACTTTATATTAAATATACAAGACAAGTATACATTGCAACAGACGAAAAGTTTATTGAACACCAAAGAAGTCAGAGAAACACCATTTCCTTGTACACCAAGGAACTTTGCAGGAAGACTGAAAATGGTCCATAGAGAGGCAAGATGCAGTGTATAACAGGCTGTATTGAAGTGTGCAGCATTGATGGTTGCTGAGTGCTTAACGATTTTTTGTAGTTGCTGCTGTAAAAAAAGATTCTAATTTAAATATTCATGTAAAGAAAGATACAGGTTAATCACAGGACATATATGACTTAAGATTTAAAAGCTTGGCATAGGTAAAATATTGTGTACAATTTACTAGCTCAGCTTCATGGCCATTGCCAACTGGTCCAGTTATACTCTAGGCCAGTGTTTCTCAACCTTTGTTCACTGCATGCTTTAATAGTATACAACATTTTGAGGCTCCCCAATTACCAAAAGGGGGACCCCATGCAAAAGCACAAAAAATGGTCTTCTCCCTTTTTATCAGAGCCCCCACTTCACATCAGAGTCTTCCCTCTCACACTAGGAGCCCCTTTTACATGACAATTTCCCTTAACATCAAGAGCTCTCTTCACTTTAGAAGCCCTCCCCCCTTTTGACATCAGGTGCTCTCTTTACATCATAAGCCCCTCTTAATATCAGAACCCCCTTTAAACCAGAGACACCCTTTCATATCAGTGTCCCCCTGTTCACATTAGAGTTCCCCCTTCACACCAGTATCCCCTTCACATCAGAAGCCTGTCTGCCCCATGAAAAGACATGTTGCTCTGCAAAAATTTTAAGGCACCCCTGAGAAGACCAGAAGGCCCCCCAGGGTGCCATGGCACCCTGGTTAAGAAGTGCTTCTACTTGTACCATTGCAGCAAAGGTGCAGTGATAAAGTGTTTCATCAACATTGCATGCTCCATCAAGCCAAAATTATAATCTTAATACAGCTGGATGTACAACACACAATTAGGAAAATCAAACATAAACAAAGATATGTAAGGAGACCAAGTTATTGCGAAGGTTGCGGAGCAGCTGTATAATGATATTCTGAATATCAGAAGATGTCTAAGGAGAATAATTTGCAAAAATGGCTTAGAATTCTGAAAGACATTAGCGGGAGGTTAGGACTGAAGGCATGCTATTCTAAAGCAGGGTGATGAGCTGGTGGGACAATAAACTGCATGGCATAATGTTCCTGTTCATATGAAACTAATTAATTTATAAGAGGAACAATAGTTTTTCAGGTCCGAAATAATTTAAAATAACATATTTTCACAATTTCTCCTTTTAAATGTTGGCACCGGTTTTGTATTATTTCTGTAAGTTGTATGATATACAGTCACAAATTAACTTTTTTGTATTTTACTTCTTCTACAGTGGACAAAGACTAGCCACTGAACATCTTTTAATTTCAGCCATGGATTCTTCTTGACCTAGGTGCCCTGCTATCTAAATCCCTGCATTTACCAATGTCTTTATGTAGTGTAATGGGCTAAAATGGATCACATTAAACCAAATGTCAATGTGTTCCTTGCTTCTAGCACCACCTCCTCTTTCTCGGAGCTCCCTACAAAAACATGGGAGCATAACAGGGAATTTGTACAATAAGAATCATGACAAGAGTCTTACACTTGACTTTGGTTGCACTGGAGTTTCTAGAATTCAGTTTTTCAGTGAACCATGTGACTTGCTAGACAACATTAGAAGTTCAGGTATTTATCTCACTAATTCCCTAGAGCAGTGACGTGTGGTACCTCTTGTTCCGGGTGAGGCATTCCCCAGTCTCGCGCCCAGCACGTCCCACCCCGCCCCCTGCCAGATGAAGCCCCACCCCTGTTGTACTAAGCCCCACCCCTGTCAGACGAAGCTCCGCCCCCAACCCATCCCCAAGCTAGTGTAAAGGAGGAAGGGAGGAGCCTCCCTTTCCCTCACTTGCTCATCACTGCTGAGGCATCGAGATCGATGGCCTCAGTGTTTTTTTTGTTTTTTTTTGATTGAACAGTTAGGACCAATGGTGCTTTGCCATTGGTCCAAGCCACCCACAGAGCTCATGCCTCTAACAAAGAGTAGAGGCTGTGACAGCTCTGGCTTCAATAGTTAGGTTACACAAGCAGTGGGGAAGCCCACTGCTGTGTAACCTAACTAACTGTCAAAAGCTGGATGCAGCGCTGCCTGTAATTAACAGGCAGCACTCCATCCATGATAGGTTACACAGCGGGGAGGATTTCCCTGCTGTGTAACCTGTTAGATGCCGATCTGAATGGCGAAAAAGCTGTCAGCTTCAGACTTGAAACTGACAGCTTATTTCCTCCATAATTCTAGGTTAGGCTCTGGCTCACCTGCCTCCCCTGACCGCACGTCCCTGGCCTTGAGTGATCTTTAAAGGTCTCCATTGCAAATAGGATGGTCTATTTTAGAGCATGCAGGAGTACTGTTCTAATTCAGGCTAACAGTAAAAAAAAAAAAAAAGATCTGCCTAAGATTACAGTGTTATGTAAAGTAGGGTATACATAGTGGATTTTTGCACGAACATTCGTATGAAAAATCCCATCCAACATTCGTGGAATCTGGCAACAGAAACTTGTTTACTTATTTGAGTACCTGTGTACTTACTTAACATTCTATTTTGCAGTGAATGGAGTTTCCAAATGAAAACCACATTGACTGTTAGAAATTTGTTCGATGGAGAAAAAAATTCCAACATGCTCTTCCGAAAATTTTCGGGAACATTTTCGTATTCGTTTGTCGATTGCACCATACTAATTGATGGATATTCAAATGAACGTTCCCAAAATGACTTGTTTCGTAAGAAATTTGAACCTTGTACTTGAATGTCTGTTTTCTATAAAATATTATTTCACTTACTTGTGGAAGTCGTAGATGTAGAAGATGTTGATGTAGTGGTTGTACTTGATACACCACCAGCAGGAATTCTAGGCAAAAAAAAGGTTGTTTACCATAAATATACAAACGAAATATCACCTTCTGTAATATATCACTTATGCCCATGCGCGTGACAAATGAAATGTTAAGCAAATCTGTATAAATTATCTAAATGATAATTATTACTACAGGATGTGATTCATTAATGATAATATGAGATATGATTGGGAACGTGTACTCACAGAATACATATAGCCCAAACTTGTTTTTTTTAGTTGCGGATAAAACAGTAATGGGTGAAAACTGGTGTCAATTAATTTTTTTCTATTGTTTTCCTTGCCTTGTCATTTCTCCTTTGTGTTCTTTAAAATACCTGGTGAGTTTCCCTTATTTCATTTTGTAATCTTATAATGCCAAGCATGGAAGCAGATCCATGCTGGCATGGTCCATTTGCATCCCTGGGCTTGCTGGTCAAATATACAGGACCATGCCAATCATGGCTAGCCAGTGCTTCCATAAGCTTTGTCGTAGTTAGCTTTGTGGTCTGGTGATAGACAGGAGCTCTGAATAGGATCCTCACTGTTGCATCTCTAGCTCACAACTGAGAATAGACATGCCCCCCACTATAGGGAAGAGGGGCAGGAAGGGAAGCTGTGCGATCACGTGACTGCAGAATTAAAGTTCAAAAAAGGTATCAAATGTTTATCTTTCTATAATAAATGTAGTTATAGTCATTAATGAGTGTCATAATAAATATTTTAACTGTGTCTCTGGGACCATTGACACCGGTTCCATTGCGTTGCCATCCATTGTGATCCATTTTTCAATAGATGCCAAGGGAAGGGCACTGAAAAATGAATGGGTGTGAATGGGGATAGTTCAGATAGCTCGATTTTGCTGTATTAGGTGCACTGCATAGAACATGCACTACTTTTTTTCAGTGCACCATAACGCAACCCAGGTGTGAACTAGCCTCATTCACACCCATTCATTTGCCCTTCCATTAAAATCCATTGAAAAACGGATTACAACGCAACGGAACAGTAGGGAATCAGAAGGTATAATTGCAAGTCAGTGGACTTTCTTCCAAATTTGGTGTGAATGGGCCCTTTCTGTTGACCTATAGGTCAGAGTGCATAAGAAAGTATTAGCTTGAGACCTTCTACTGAGGTTAAAATTAGAAATCAGCTCCATCACAAATAAAATCATGGGCTGGCTTCTTATACCACCCAGGGATTTTAGTGATGAACAGTCTCAACCGGAATTTAAAGTTACACTGAAAAATTGTGACAACTAAAAAAACCAAATTATTGGGTTTCCATGATGGATGTAAAATAAATAGTTGGTTAATCCAGCCACACATGTGGAAGGGTATAAAGGCTCAAACTACTACTGGAAAAACCTCTTGCAGCCTCCCACTATGTAAGAGCTGCTGGGTGATAAAACCCATGGGTACTCAAACCCATGGGTACCACAGACAATGGTGTACATTAGATAATCAGACAGACTTTATACAGTTCTATGTTATGAGACCTGTACTCTCTGGTCCTCCAACTTACTTGAAGTCCTGTCCATCCAGCAACTGTGTGTATTTGGCGATCTCCTGTTCCAGACGGGACTTGACATCCAGAAGCATCTTGTACTCACTGGTCTGCATTTCCAGCTGGTTTCTGAGGTCTGCAAGCTCTTCCTCCAACTTAGCTATAAGATCCTGAATCTGAGCAATCTGTGCACAGTATCGACCTTCTGTATCAGCCAAGGATGCTTCTAAAGCTGATTTCTGCATACAACATAAAAAGATTGACATGGTTAAGATGAGGCCCCTGGCTGAACATTGTGAACATGAAATTCACTGTCAAGCTAGTATCAACCTATGGAGCTCTGTATCTAACTACTGGCATTGACTACAGTGCCAGTCAATGCAGATGCTATCCAGGAAAAGTCACAGTAGATCATGCGACTGCTGTGGGCCCCAGTAGTTTAGAGGACCATTATAGCTTGGTTGTATTATTACTTATCCAGGTTGCAAATCCTGGTCAGGGAACTAGCTGCAAGGAGTTTGCATGTTCTCCCTGTGATTGTCTGTGTTTCCTCCCACACTCCAAAGACATGCTGGAAGGATAATTGTC